GCATCACCATAATAAGTCCCATGAGATGCAGATTTCCTTTGTGTGTCCTCTCGCAATAAATTCTCATAACGAGCCACCTTGTAAGACAACTCAAAGAAATCACGAAACTCCATTCCCTCAAACTTTTTCCTCAATTCAATGTCTAGACCATTTTGTGCCAGCTTGACAAATTCCTGTTCTGGCAGGGCAACTCTGCACTTAAGTCTGGCCTTCCGAAATCTGGCCAGAAAGGCCTCAGATGTTTCTCCAGGTCGCTGCACCAGACGAGATAAATCTGCCATGGATACTTCTGGCTCACTGCGGTAGAACTGGATGTGAAAAAGATCTTCCATCTGCCTCCAAGTATAAACAGAATTCTGTGACAGACTTAGATACCAAGTGAGAGCTGTACTAGTTAATGAGCTGGGAAAAAGTCTGAGCTTCAGATTATCATCACCGGAGGCCTCGCCACACTGAATTGTGAAGCGGCCTATGTGTTCAATAGTAGAATATCCACCATCTCCGGAAAATAGAGTGAATTCTGAAACCTTGAACCCCCTTGGAAAAGGATTCTCTTGATCTATGTAATCTGGATATGGCTTTCTGTAGGCAGGTCTGACAAGAGGCCTCAGAACTGGACCATAAGCCTCCTGCACCATGTCGATGATCTGATCATGATTGATGTACTGTCCTGGCAGATTTGGAAGATTTTGCTGCACAGGTGGCACATAAGGCTGGAAATGCTCCCTTTGTGGAGGTGCATTATGTTGTGGATGTCCTCCATTCGGTCGGCGTGGAGGTGGCAGATATCTGGGCTGTTGGTGATTTCCCAGATCTGCTGCACGTGGTGCAACCTCAACAGGATCTGGCTGCACTGGTCCGCCTACTACTTGCTGAATCTGGGGAGGTGGCTGTGGTAGATTAACTTGCCCCCCGAGTGCTGGAGCTGGAATATTCTGATTCTGCCTTTGAAGATCTGTTGCTTGTGGCTGAGGCTCAATTCTGACACGTCGAAATGCCTCCTGCATTCGTTCCGTTTCAGCTTGGAAAGCTCTCAAATTTTCTGCATTTTGCTCGCGCCAGATTCTGTTGCTTTCTTCATTGGATCGCCGCATGTCGGCTACACTTTGGGCTACACTTTGAGCCAAATTCTGAGCCAGATTCTGAAAAGACTCATCCAACTGCCTAGAAACCTCTTGGCTTCTTTGTCGAGCTTTCTCCTCAGATTCCATCAGTGTGTGCCTCATGATGCTAATCTGATCTGACATAGCTTTCACAAGAGAATCACCAGATTGAGCAACATCATCTCCAGATTCACTACCCTTGTTGAAGGTAGGATTGACAAAAGAATGCTCCCTAAGTATTGGTGACAATGGTGGTGGAAGGATTGGCTCATTTTCTCCTTCTGAGTGTGTTGGACTGCCTTCACCAGGCCCAATCTGTAATGTTTGGACAGCCTTCCCAAGGTTTCTTTTTGGTGGCATGATTGCACCTTTTCTTGGAAAAAAGAACAACGGATCTGAAAACTGTAAGTAAGACACGATGGGGTCCCACCGGGCGTGCCAAAAAAGAATTGTTTCCTCAAAAATCCTCTAGTGGCCTCGCACGTGTGAAATCTGATGCGGGCGTGCCACTTACTTTGCTGAAAGTAAGAAAGGAGGACTTTCCCAACGACCCTCTTCTTCCTCACGGTCGACCTCTTCGCAGATGGCGGGAAGAA